AAAATTGTTTATATATATATATATATATATATATATATATATATATATATATATATATATATATATATATATATATATATATATATATATATATATATATATATATATATATATATATATATATATATATATATATAAATCTATAATTAGTTTTTTTTTAAATTTAATTAAAGTTGAATACTTTTTTTTATAATAGTTCAACAATGAAAATTTCATTTAAAATAAATTTATACAAACCGCTGTAAAGTAAATAAAACTAGGTATTATTTAATTGTTTTTATTTAATACCAAAGCTGCAGTAACATATTTCTTCCAGTAGATAGACAAATATATTAACAAAAAACCAATGCTTTTTCATCTGATTTCCTGACTTTACATAAAAAAAAAATCAAACAAAAAATTGTCCACCTTTTCCCTTTTACACACTGGAATGCTTCTGGGTGACTCCCTCTCCATACTTGCATACATAGTTTATGGATGACCCCATGGAAACCAATTTCTAACCCTGATATTGCTCACAAAAAATTGGTGCTGAGCACGCATAATTGTGTTTAATAATAATGTGTTTCAGTTTTATGAGCTATATGTATTTATTTATAGATGAATTGTGAATGTTTACATTCTTGTTATGTGCGTGCATACTTGGAGGTGGAAAAAAGAAATATTTGGAAATTTTCTAGTTAAAACATTGTGATATTTGTATTTTCTGTTAATAAATTTATTCACGATTTTATTTTTAAACAAGAATTAAAATATTTTAATAACTTGTGTAGCTAGTTATTCAAAAAGATGTGAAAACTTATGTGTATTTAAAGTTTATAGAGTTCCTTTTTGAAAATCAATTTTTAAAAGTAAAAGACATGGAAGGATTAAAGCTAATAGATTAGCCTAATCTACCTGATTTTAAACTCTAATTTCTAGTTAAATCTAAAAAACAGAAGTGAAAAGTATCCTATGAAGCAAAAAATAACAATCATTTGACTATCAATATTATCTGTGATATAGATCTTGATAACTTTACTTAGAAAATACACTGTGACACGAAATTACTAAGAAAATACACTATGACATAAGCTTTACTTGAACAAAGTAAACATTTCATATTAAAATCTAACATCAGATGAACAAAAATAACTTCTTTTTAGTCTTATCTTAAAAATTTTCTTCAAAAGAGTTAAAACTTAAACTTGCGATAGTTGTTGGAAGACCATCTTAATATTGTGCTTATAAAGCTAAAACAAAATCCATCGATGATACTGTTTTTTTGCAATTGTGTAATATTTTAAAAATAATAATACCAATTTTCTGCTAGAGTTGTAAATTTGATTTTTGGCCAAAGTGTGGAGCAATAAAGAATAACCTACAAAAAAGTTTTTGAAAAAGGTTCAAAGACTTAGTATTATTGATTGTACTGAAGTTTTTATTGCAAGAAAATTTTTTTGAATTAGTTCAGTTATAAACATATTGATATCGTTTAGTTTTTATATAATAGAAGCTTAAACTTAGTTGCTATATACTTGTGACAGAGCTTATTCCTATTGCTTACTAATGTTATTTGATAACTCTTGTGTTTCTTTTATGTAAAGTTATTTGACTGTTTCTTTAGGTTACCTTAGCTATTAATTTTCATAATAAAGTCTTCTATACCACCTTGAGTTTTCTCATACATAAAGGATTCATGATAATAGATAGGTGCTATCTGGGCAACATTAAAAGTTTTTATATAAGAGTATAATTGTCTTGAGGTAAGTTTCTAATATTCCGATTTATGTGAATAAAGGAATTTGATGTATAAAATGTTTCCCATTATTTGTATGACTGTGTGGATCAATCAATTCGTTAGATAGAACCATGGTTAATATAATAATGCATTTGTTTGTCTTAATATGGGTGTAGTTAATTAATGTAAATATATATTGTCAGGGTGGCCAGCAATTTTTCATGTTTATTTTCCATGAATTTTTCCTGATTTATATAAAAAATATCTAAATTTCCAATGAAATCAATCGAAATTCCTTGACTTTAGCAAAATTCATTTAGTTTTCTAAATTTTGCAAAATGTCCAGCAATTTGCTTTTCTATAAAGTAATTTATAGAGATGGATTTTTTACAGATTAAAAATTTAAATATATTTAAAAGAGGGTAATAAATTTAATTTTTTTTTTTACTTTTTTATAAAGGTATAATTTTTCCAAAACTAGGTCTTTTAAATATTTAAAAAAAAACTTTTCCTAAGACTTTCTGTTGATTTGTCACTACAATTTTTATTGTCACAGTTACAATTTAGCAATTTTACAATATTTCACTAATGATGTCAGTTATTAAGTTTCAAAACAATTTCAAAAAGCGAAATTTTAAAAGCTTTAAGAATTTTCTTGTTTATGTTTTCTGAGAGCAATCTGAATTTATAATTTACAGAAGAACTACTTGAAGTTCTTCTGTAAATTATAAATTTACAGAAGAACTTCAATCTGAATTTATAATTTACAGAAGAACTACTAGCGAAAAGAAATGCAAGGAACACTTGTGTTTTTATATAATAAATTTATAAATGTACTCATAAAGTTTTAATGTTTTTTGCTTACAAGTTAGCGTGCCCATGTTGTTTACAAAAAGATGTGATGTTGCACTGAAAGTCATCTATACATACATATATATATATATATATATATATATATATATATATATATATATATATATATATATATATATATATATATATTTATATATAATTATGTTAATGTGTTTATTTGCAATATTTATGTATATGTGTGTATATATATATATATATATATATATATATATATATATATATTATATGTATATATATATATATATATTTAAACAATTAAAAAAAATGTATTCTACAAAGTAGAATGCTCAATATTCTCCTCCATATTGGTCAGCTTTTATTAGTAGTCAACAGGCCACATGACACAAACTTTTTGACTTACATTTCTAATAAATATAATAAACATATCTGATATAATTTTTTTAATGAACTTTTTTTTAAATTTTTTTTCAATGAACTTAGGCGTACATCTGATGAAAGGTACTCACAGATTATAGAAATGGGACTAGAGATATCTAAATTAAATAATGAAGTTACAGTAAGTTAAATTTTTTCAAGGTTAAATATGTAAAAACAATCATGGCTTAAATAATTCTTTTAATAGCACTTAAAATCTTTACTTTTTAATATGTTAATATATGTCAGTGTAGCTAGCATTGCTAAGTTTTTTAATTTTTAAGTGGAAAGCGTAGAAGTACTATGGAAACACTCAAAAATGTTTTTAAGTGTTGATAATATTTCAATGCTTTAAATGTTTTCTCATAAACCTGTTTCTTAGAAAAGTTTTAATAATGGCTGCATGATAAATTATGAATAGACAAACCAATTAAAAAAGTTGACTTCTGTGTAAAAGTGAGTTCAAAAATCGAAAATGTGAAAGTGAGTTTAAAAACCAGTCTGCTTATAATTATTTTTTACCACTGTGTAGAGAAAGTGTGGAGGTGCATGACGGAAAGCATATTTTTGATTTTTTTTCTAAATTTCCTTATAACTTTAAAGGCAGTAAGTTTCAGTTTTTTATTGGAGGAAAAAAAATCTGTAACAAATTTTTAAGGAAAGATCATTTGTAAGGAAGTCTTTCTTATTTTTAAGTATTATGAAACATAAGCTCTAACAATATATGAGTAAAATTTTTTGTTTGTAGAATTATCTTAATAGTGTATAGAAAATTTTTATAAAAAGATTCAACCATTGGCCATAGTTCAGTAAAAAAATATATTAGCTATTCATAATCTATTTTACAAGCTGCTTATTTGCTATCTTCTTTACTTGATTCAAAACTTTAAAAAGCCTTTAAATTATGACAAACAATTTTCATATCGTATATGAAGTATAGCTTTTAATAAGTTTGAACTGTCTCAAACTGTTCTTGAGGTTAACTATAAAATTCTTCAAAGTATCTTACCCTAAAGGTTTCACTAATGTTGTGTACTCTCGAGTCCTTAATACAACGAGGGGGTGGGAATAAACGGGGTGGAGGGCTGGTGATAATTTTAATCAAGATCTAATAAAAAATTTTTTTTTTTTAGTTTTTGAGAAATTAATATTTTGTTGTTAACAAGTAAAATTTAATAAACAGGACTGGGTTCTTAATAAGCTTAGGGTGAGTAGGAATGTTTCCTAAAATTATTAAGTTTCTTCCTTTCACCTCAAACCCCCCTGCCCCCCCCATGTATTAAGATCTTGAGAGTAGGCAAGTTGCTTTTCCATCCAATAAAAAAAAAATGTTTTTTATGTGAAAGACCATCTTTTCTAGACTAATCACTAAACTATTCTTCCAACAAGTGTCAATGTATCCAAAAAAAAAAAAAGCATGGATGCTCTCTAAGCATTCACATTATTGAAGTACGCTAAGTATCTGTTAAGCAAGAACATCCCCAGTAGCACAGAAAACAGGTATTGTTTATGTGTAGATCCTGTACAATTTTCAATTTTAATGTGTGAAAGTAAGAGGTTCAAAATGACCGAATTTTTGTGTTTTTATCTTTCCATCTAAACCTATGCAAAATATGTCTTTCCTTTTGAATCTCCCTTTTCTAAAGTTGCATTTACTTTTGACTATACTCTGTCTGGTTAACACTCATTGATACAGCGTTTGAAATTCAGCTTTTTTGGCCTCGGTAAACAAATCCAGAGTACTTGACTTGAAAAGTACCGTTTACCTTGGCATTACTTTGGCAAATTTTTTTAATTTTTTAAACTGACTTAAGGCCATCGCTCTTGACATTTCTAAAGCGTTTGATAAAGTTTGGCATGCTGGTCTTTTCCATAAGCTTCCTTCTTATGTTGTATCTGGAAACATCTTTAAGATTATTGAATCCTTCCTTTCCAATCATAGTATAAAAGTTGTCCTTGATGAACAGCACTCTTCTATTTATTATGTAACCTCAGGGGTTCCCCAAGGTTCAATCCTTGGCCCTATACTCTTTTTAATTTACATTAACGATCTTCCAGACATTCTCACATCTAAGGTGGTATTGTTTGCTGATAATACTACCATTTATTCTTGTCATGATAAGAAGCCAACTCCCTCTGATTGCTTACAGAGGGCATCTGAGCTTGAAAAGGATCTTACTTCTGCTACAGCATAGGGCTCACAGTGGCTGGTGAACTTTAGTTCAGATAAAACTCAATTTTTTTCAGCCAATTGTTATCGCAATAATTTAGACCTTCCTATATTTATGAACATTAATGTACTCGATGAGTCTCCTACCCTTCATCTTCTAGAATTAACTCTTACTTCTGATCTTTCTTGGAAACCTTATATCAAATCCGTTGCAAAATTAGCATCTGCTAAAGTTGCTTCTCTTTATCGAGCTCGTCACTTTCTTACTCTGGATTTTATTCTCTATCTCTATAAATCTCAAATCCGACCTTGTATGGAATACTGTTGCCATATCTGGGGCGGATCTTCTAATGATGCCCTTTCTCTTTTAGACAAGGTGTAAAAACACATTGTAAACATAGTTAAACCTGCTCTTACAGCCAACCTTCAACGTCTGTCACATTGTTGTAATGTTGCTTCTCTTTCTCTTTTCTACAAATACTATAATGGGCACTGCTCTAAAGAGCTAGCGTCTCTTGTGCCATCTACTAAAATCCATTCTCGTGTTACTCGTTATTCAATTAAGTCTCATCCTTTTTCTGCTACTGTTCCTAAGTGCTCCAAAAACGCTTATTCATCTAGTTTTTTTCCTCGAACATCAGTTCTTTGGAATTCGCTTCCTTCATCTTGCTTTCCTGATTCATATAGTTTGCAATCTTTTAAGTCGTCTGTCAATCGTTTATATATATATATATATTTATATAATTATTTAGATAGCGTATTTAGATAACAGGTTGTTACATTTTTTTCCGACCTTTTTAGCCTATATATATATATATATATATATATATATATATATATATATATATATATATATATATATATATATATATATATATATATATGTATATATATATATATATGTATATATATATATATATATATATATATATATATATATACATATATATATATATACATATATATATATATATACATATATATATATATATATATATATATATATATATATATATATATATATATAGTATATATATATATATATATATATATATATATATATATATATATATATATATTTATATATATATATATATTATATATATATATATATATATATATATATATATATATATATGTATATATATGTATATATATATATATATATATGTATATATATATATATTTATATGTATATATATATATATATATATATATATATATATATATATATATATATATATATATATATATATATATATATATATGTATATATATATATATATATGTATATGGATTTCTCTTTATTTTATTGTAGGCACTTTCTATAAGTAAAAGAGAAAATGAAGACATAATTAATGGGCTCCGTAATCAGCTTTTAAAGGAAACAAGTCTTTTGTTAAAGGAGCATGATCTGCGAATGAAGCAAGAAAAGGTTTATATAGAAATGTTTATATATAGAAAGATTCTTAAAACTTTGAAATAATGTATTTTATTTCAAAGTTTTAAGAATATAAGGAAAGGCTCTTCTTAAAACTTTGAAATATATATAAATATATATATATATATATATATATATATATATATATATATATATATATATATATATATATATATATATATATATATATATATATGTAAAATATTATTAGGAGCTAGAACAATTAGTTACAGTTAAAGAAGAAAAAAAAAACATTGAAGAAGAAATGTATCACATGAAAAAACAGTTTGAAATGAAAAACCTAAAGTTAAAGTTGCTAAGAGACAAAATACAAAATACTTCAAATCAAAAAGAGGTAAATTTTTTGTTTTTTGATTTTCATGTCTGAACAAGTCAATTTTTTACATATTCCAAGTATTTTTTTACAAATGATTTTTTGCAATTTTTTAAATTACTATTTTTGTAATACAAACTGTTATATTCCAAATCCATAAAGTTAATTTTTTGTACTAACTGTATCATTTATTTGCATACCTTAGATGTATTTATAATAAAAATTTTTAGTTTAGTGGATTTTAATGTCAAGAAATGAACACCAGCATATTATAATTTATTTATATATCTGGTTTAATTTTTATGCTAGCTATGGTTGTTTATTTTGTAAATTTAATATATATTTTTTTATACTTATAATTATACATTTGTACTGATGCATGAATAAAAGGCAGAGGATGGTATTAGATTTATTATTTCTTTTTATACCAAGCGTTTTCAAGTAAATCTGTAAAACTCTCTTTATATGTTTCTTCAAAAATTTCATCAATTTCTTCCTAACTGCAGTTTTATAGTTGTCCTCCGTATATAAATTTCTTTTGTTCTAGTAATTTCTGGGGTATCACAGAGTTCTATCCTTAATATTGTGCTGATTAATTTTAATAAGAAATTTATTTTTGTTTATATCAATTTTTTCAATATTTACATAAAATTAGTATTAATAATGGTATTTGTGTTAATCATACATCTAAAGTCACTCTATTTGCTAATGGCTCAACTATATTGTTTAGTCTTGATCACAGCTGATCTTAAATATGATCTCTCTTTTGTAAAGGTTTAGGGTTGCTACAGTTGGTTGCTTAGGGCTTACAATTGCAAGTAAATTTTAACCCAAAGAAAACTCAATTGTTTACTGCCCAATCAATTGTTTACTACCCAATAAATTGTCTACTACCTAATTAATTGTCTACTACCTAATTAATTGTTTGCTACCAAATCAATTGTTTACTGTTCAATCAATTGTTTTCTGTCCAATCAATTGTTTACTGTCTAGAATTATTACAATATTGTTAATGTTTCTATACTGATGATGGATTTTTACTGAGTAATCTACTTTGTGTCTTGATTATCTTTTATTACTGACATGTCATGGAATCTAATCTATTACAAATTTAGGATTTGTTAAGGTTGTCTTTCCTATACACTATATTTTTACTCCTAGTTTTTTTTTTTGCCTCTTGTTTTTTTATCATTTTATAGAATACTTTTGCCATGAACTTCTTCTGCTCTCATTAGTCTTTTGAACTTTAAAAGTCCAAAATTTTTAAATAAATAGAATTGTAAATATAGGTGAATTAACTCTAGCTACCAAGATTTAGTCTTTCTGTATTTATAATTTTTATTCTCTTTTTTTAAAATAGTTTTACAATCACTGTTTAAGTAAGCTATCATCCTTTTCCTATCAACCAAAACTTAATCTTAGGTGACCTGTCCTTTAGTAAAGTTTTTTTTTTTTTTTATTGTAACTGTTCCTTTGTGTTCAAAAATCATAACTTATTTAAAGATTACAATATCTTAACTCATCAATAATTTAAAGACTACACCAAAAACAGATTTCAATAATTTTAAGATAACAAAAGTATTTTAAATTGTAAAATTTATTGCTTTTAACATTTCAAAATCTGAGAGTAAAAAAAAAAAATTATCTTGATAAATAAAGTAATTAGAAATTATACTAATTACAATATAATAAACTGTTATTATTTTAAATTATTATATTGTTATATATTAAAAAAAAAAAATTATTAAAAAAGAAAACCGCTATATTATACAGCATAATTCGTGACATTGGTCTTACTTGGAATTATAGCGGTTATGTGACAACGTTATTTTTGAAACCCATGTTCAAATATAAACATAAAAAAAAAATCTCTTGAAAAACACTTCAAAAGAAGCTCTTACAAAAAACATTATTTGGTAAATTTAAACAGTTTTGTTTCATAAATTTTCCATAAAATAGTTTTGTAAATTTAAACGGTTTTGTATAATATGATGGTTTTGTTTTTTATAACTGTATTTTAAATACCTGACAATGAAGGTATCAATATTCCCTAGAAATATTGTTAAAATAAATATATTTTAAACAAAATTTCTAGGGGTAATTTAAAACCCTTAAAAAAAAAGTTATAAAAACCATTAAAAAAACAAATAAACAAATAATAAAACTTCAATGTAATGTGTTCTTGCGTCTTAAATAAGAAAAATAAGGTTTCCAAAAAGATTTGTGTTTATTAAACTAGATTAGATTTGTGTTTATTAAACTGTTATTTTTTACATGAAAACAATATACATACATTAGAAAATGCCTGTCCTATAGGTTTATCATTAATGGTAGTAATGGCAGAGAGTTTTCTGCAACATTATGAAGAAAAAACTTTAGTACAGGCACATATTCTTACACCACCCATATGTGTAAAATCATTCAAAAGGTATGTTGATGATACCCATTCCCGTTTTAATAATGAGGCAGAATCAGAAAGTTAAACAACCAAAAAGACTTGTTAAACAACCAACACACAAGTATCAAATATACAATTGAAAAAGAAAGTGACTCACACACAATAAATTTTCTTGATCTGTCTATAACAAATAGCAAATATGGAACATATCTTTTTAATATTTATTGCAAAGATGCAATAACAAATGTGCAAATAAAGCCACATTCTTGTCACAATCCAAAAATAATTTATGGTGTATTAAAAGGTTTTATCCAAAGAGCTTTTGCATTATGCAGTAAAAAAAACATAAATCATGAATTAAAGTTTCTTACAGAAATGTTTATAGAAAATGGTTATAAAAAAAAATACTTCAAAACATTGTTGAAAAAATTAAAAACATTAAGCAAAATAATCAACAAAACAACAACAATAACATCAAAAAACTACAACTTAACTATATTTCTCTGCCATGGGTGCCAAAATTAAGTAATCAATTAAAAAAGATATTTAAAAATGCTGGCTATACTCCAGTTTCTAAATCACCAAAAAACCTTCAACAATTAATAACTCAAAAAATCAAGCCTCGACTTACCAACAACTCTTATCCAGGAGTCTACAAACTGGAGTGTTCGTGTGGAAAACTTTATGTAGGTGAAACAAAACTCAAGGTTTCAAATCACATTTACTAACATCAAAAACATACTTTTGAGGGAAAATGGAAAAATTCAGCTGTAGCAGGGCATTCCAGAAATTGCCATGGTGCCTTTAGCTGGAATAAAAACAATACTGTTAAAGTTTGGAAATTCAGTATCACCAGTGCTCTCCAAATGAAGGTGGTTTGAATGAAGACAACGGCGATTACGTCACGTTGTTGTTTTGGAAACCTTATTTTTCTTATTTAAGACGCAAGAACACATTACATTGAAGTTTTATTATTTGTTTATTTGTTTTTTTAACAGTTTTTTTATATTACTTGAATAACGAGGGTATATATAATCCCTAGAATTACTGTATTTTATTATAAAGAAATATATAGGATAAGTTTACTCACTATAACAGATGTTTTAACTTAATTAATTATATAAAAACTTTTAAAAATTTTAAACAAAAGAAATAAATCTATAAAAAGAAGTTTTATTTTAAAATATTTATACAATTAAACTCTATTGAATATGTCAACATTTAAAAATTTATCAACTATACTAAACTATTGATTTTTTTAACTAATATTCTTATCTATCAACTTGCTTACCTTACTTATCTATTAACTTGCTTACTTTACTTATCTATTGACTTGCTTACCTTACTTATCTATTGACTTGCTTACTTTGTAGTAATCCTTACTACTAACCGTTACATATTTTATATAATTTAATTAAAAATTACTTATAAAATTAATTTCTATATTATTGTGTTAAATGTTGTGATGCAAAATAATTAAAATTTAAAATACTATTTTTGAAATTGTTTTTTTTTTCTTTTTTTTACGTTTTATAAATTAATTTTTTTTTTACAAATTTAATACTAGTGAAATAATTATAAGTTATTTAAAATGTTAAAGCATAATTTTCATACTCTAATATATTTCTCATGACATCTCTTTTTTTTAACTTCATATTTAGATATTTCATACAAAAAAAAAAAAAGAGTGAGCAAAAAAAAAAATATTTTTTTAGTCTTTATGAAAACTGATTTTTTAAGAATTTTAGCTTTCGAATTTTGAATCATAAAAAAATTTGAAATTTTATTTATAGTTTTTGAATTTTGAATCAGAAAAAGAAAATTGTATTTTTATTTAAGACAGAAATGTTTTTTTTTTTTTTCAGAAAAATTCTTTGTTTTGTTGAATAAGTGACTTATTTGTTTTAAAAATTCTTTGTTTTGTTGAGAAAAAAAAGTGATTTATTTATTTTAATTATTTTTTGTTTTGTTGATAAAGAAACTGAAGGTTTCTATAGAAAGTTTTTTTAGAAAGCAGAATCGTTCTTATTCCTTCTTCCCGAAATGCAAAAAAAAATTGACTTTCTTGATAAAGAAAAGCAAAAGTTGGAAAAAAACATCGAAGAACAAGCTCAAAAAGAAAAAGAAAAACTTGCAATGATTGCATTTGAAAAACAAGAGGAGGAGGAAAAGTTAAAGTTACAAAAAGAGGACTGGGAGAAAAGAATGCTTGGAATTGGTAGATGTATTCATAGCGAGTTTGATAATGTATTAACTTTTAAAAACAGGTTAAATTTTTATTAAGTTTTTATTTTAATATAAACTTAAAATAAAAAAAAATAAAAATAAAAACTTTTATTTTAATTACTTGGTTACCAGTTTGTTTTATTTTTCAAAAAAAGACCAAAAAGTGCACCATCTATTAAGCCAAAACCACCAGCTACTAGTCGTAGGTACATGAATGGCGTACGGAAGCACAAAGCACCAACACTAAATCCATCTTTTCTTCAAGCATCTATTGATGTAAGTTTTAGTTTTTTGTTTTTTGAAAAAATATATTTTTATTCTTTTAACCTTATTACACTTTTTTTTCACATTTATTTATAGTATAAAGTTGTTTTATTTTTTAAAAGTTTTTAATCTTTAAATAAAGAACAAATGATAGAAGATTTAAATTAAAATAAATGTATATATACTATAGCTGTGCAGCTTAAAATCTGTACTTTTCCTAATATAGTTTGGTATTATTGATGTTTTCTTCAGCCTAAAACCTGCTGTCATATAGATTTAACCTTTCTAGGCAAAGACTTTAGGGGTAAGCAGAAAGTTTATATTAATTAGCTTTGTACCCCTTCTAATATGCTAATCTAATAGGCTTACATAAATTCAAGACTGTGTTACATTTTTTTCTGTCTAGTATAACTACTGTTAAATTTCCTTGACTCATAGGTTTTTGCTTGCGTCTTTTTGCTAGTGGCGTTGCAACTGGTTTTGTTATCTTCTGATAATTGTACAGCTCTAAAACTAATTTGAATAGTTCTTATGTCAGCAAGTTTTTTTTTAATCTGTTTATTCAATTGAAGTTGTAAAATATCAGAGTATTAGTGGTTTTTTTGGCATGGGTGGTATCTTTGATAATGTGTTTGTTGTGCATTGTTAAGTCCACACATAGAACCCATGGCTACAACTTTAGATTGATTAACAGGAAAGAGGTCACTGTATAGCTTAGAATTCAATTACTATCTATTTTTGACTTTTTTTTTCCTATAGTTTATAATAATTGATATTTTTTTATTATTCAGACATATAAGTTGTTTTATCAACCATCAAACTGTAATGTTTTGAACCACATTTTGTTTTCATTTACAATTTCAGGTGTGCGCTACTTAATATTTGATATATGGTCAGACATTAAATGGAACAGAAGCAGACATAGAACATTGGGTCTCTTAATTAGTAGCAATCACTCTAACCACTGCCCATTGGCTGCTCATATTTTGCAACCGTATTTAGGGTAGTCGTTATCTTTTTATTTGTAGAATCTTACCTTTTGCAAAATTCATCAACTTTTTTTTTTTTGAGACCATTATAAGGCTGAATCTATAGGCTGTTTCAGAATTGACGGCTATCATCATTTCTTTTGCAAAGACTCCAGTAGTCACATGCTTGTCTTGGGGATGCAATTATATTTAAACTCACATATTTGTCATGAAATTAGGTTTAAATCATCTTTTACTCAGGTCTTCCTAACTTTCTTTAAAGACAATTTTGATCACTTCCGTTGTGGTTTGTGCTCAGGCAGTTCAGCTCATGCTATGGTCTCGCTAAAACTTTTATCCCTTCTGCATTAAATTCATCTCATCATTACACTCCTTACTATAAGGCTGACTGAGATTTCTAAGATTTTCTTTATAATGGTCTTTGGATCTTTTGTCCCTCTGTTAAAAGTTGTGCCTTCTTTACAATTTCCTGGATTCTGACAGGCATGGAACTTTTGAATTTTTTTGTTTTGTTGATTTAAGATCAAGCCTCGCTTAACTTTATGGTTTTCTCTTTCTTGTGAAGCTTTTGTATTTTTAATTATAATAAGTTCCTTTTTCACCAGAGTAACTCTCTTAAAAACAATATTCTTTAAACAATAAGCTTTTTGTAATTGCTAGAAATTGATTCAAAAATATATTGTCTGATGCTAAATTCCATTTTTTTCTGATTTATTTCAGAATCTCATGTTAATCCCATTTTTTTTTCTTCAGAAGTTCTAAAAACCAGGAAGATACAATAAAATTCTTTGATAGTATCATTAAAGATTCATTAAAGGCAAGTTTAACATTCTGTCTCTCATACATCGATCTGATGCTATAATTATCTGAAGAATAAGGAAGATTTATTGCAAATTACTTATGTAATTTCTCTGTTGAATTTAATAACCATACTCTTTTTGGGATTTCAGAGAAATGGGTTCTAATCTATTGTTAGAGAAATGGGTTCTAACCTATTGTTAGGCGTTAGGAGTAATCACTCCAGCATTTGTCTCTTTTTTTTTTTTACTTCTTCTAAAGCTCATGTCATTTTTGTCACAGCCATATATAAATTTTTGCCAAAACTTTATATCTAACAAATGTTAGACTAAATTTTGTTTCCCTCCCTTTTTCTTTTAATTAAATTCACCTTCATAAAGTGAATTTAAAAAAAAACTACTACACTGTAGCCAGCTCCAGAGGGGACCACTATAGTCAAGGAATCTGTTCATTTTATCTATTTTTATTTAAATTTGTTACTCTCTCTAAACCCTAAAATCCAAAGCGCAAAACCACTGCATGGAGAATCAGGTTGGATGTTATACCTTTGAAAGCATGCTGTGGTTTTATTCTTTAAAGCTCTTGATTGTAAAATGAAAGTTCTTACTCCTGCATACTACATACTGGAATGTAGCATCTGTAGTTTCAATTTTTAAAAACTCTGGAGATCTTTCTGACTCCTCTATCACCGAATCATTTTTCTTACTATTGCTAGAAAGGTTTTCTTGCATTCTCTATTTATGCATTTAGACAAGAGCTACTGCTCTTAAAATATACAAAAATACAAAAGCTTTTAATTAAATCTGGACTTTCCATAAGCTTTTTTATATAGTGTATTGTTTAAAGTTTATGAAATTGAACTACTCCTATCTAATAGCAGTGTTAAAAATGTTTTTAATAGACAATAATCTTCCAGTAATCTCTAAGGTATCACAAGTTTCCATCTTTTTCTCTTAATTGTTTTTCGTCTATATTTTCATTGTTTTTTGTCTAAATTAAAATTATTTTTAGTAATCTTACCGCTAAACTGAAATTTGCTAAAAAGTTTGCTGAGAAAATTGCCAAAAATAACTTGCTAAAGATTTTTTGAATTTACTCTAGACATAAAGTAATCTTTATAATTACTGCTAAGAACAAGATTTTGAATGTAATCTCTTTTCTGTGACTAATCTCAGTTGTTTACTAGTAGTTTTTTTTTTCTCGTTTTTCTATATTGATGAATGGCAACACTAACAGAATCATGTACTTATATATTGATGAATGGCAACTCTAACAGAATCAAGTACTTATATATTGATGAATGGTAACACTTACAGAATCATGTACTTATATATTGATGAATGGCAACACTTACAGAATCATGTACTTATATAATGTATAATGGCAACACTCGTACTGAATCATGTACTTATATATTGATGAATGGTAACACTCGTACTGAATCATGTACTTATATAATATATAATGGCAACACTTGTACTGAATCATGTACTTATATATTGAAGAACAGTAACACTCTTACTAAAGCATGTACTTATATTTCCCAGATTTTTCATTACTGTTATTTTTACTTTTGCTCTATATTTTGAGTATATTTTGGCATTTTTTCACTTGGCAAAACTTTGCATTCTGGGTCGCGAAAACATAAGTTTATTGAAATATACTTGGTTGCTATTCGAATTCATCTTTTTCAACAAGATTTTTAAAGAGATATTCTTCTCAAGTCAGCAAGTTTTAAAAAAGTTTTATAAGATTTTAATATCTTTTGATAATCTTTGCTGTAGCGATTGTTTTGATAATCTTTGCTGTAGCAATTCCGATTATTTCTGTAGCGATTCTGATTATTTTTAATTGTGTTGTAAAACTTTTTTTTATAGATAAAAACAATTCAAACATTAGTAAAACACTGATGATAAACCTTCATTAAGTAGCAAAAATAAAAATAAACACTGATGATAAGCACTGTACTGAGTATCAAAAAAAATAAACACTGTATTCAGTAGTAAAAAAAAAAAAAACACTGATGATAAACACTGTACTGAGTAGTGATGAAAAATAAACAATGATGAAGAATGCTAAGTAATGATGAAAATAAGCTCTAAAGAAAAAAAAAACATGCATGGCATTATGAAAAAAATAAACTGACAAAACTCACAGCTCTAGAACACAGAGTAGTAATAAAAAAAATACTGTTTTAGAACACAGAGTAGCAATAAAAAATCGTGCTTTAGAGCACAGCTGCAGAAATATGGTTGGAGTTTTTGCTCAGAACCATGAGATTTGAGGTTCGATGCAAGCCCTAACCCATTAAGTGACATAGATAATGAAGGAGTCATAAACTTTTTATTTCAAACCTAATAATAATTATTCTTTTTTTTTTTTTAATTAAATATAATTTTTTTTTAATGATCTTAATTTTCAGACAAACTGGCAATCTATTAACTTACCTGTACTTAAGAACAATTTGTTTAAAGAAAGTTTTTCTTCCACTTCACATCTTTCCACTAGGCAATTAAATCCAACTGAAGCATTCCAACAAATAATAAGAGATAAGAATATTGTTCAACCAAGGATATTAATGCTAGAAAATGATGAAGTGACTTCTGGAAAAAGGTTGTTAGCTGTTGGTGACAAAGTTTATGCTAAATTAAAATGCAACTGTTGTAAGTAATTTTTTTAATTTGTTTACATCTATATTATATATTATAAATTTACATTTATTTTTATATTGTTCAAGTTAGCATGTCTAAAAATATTTATGCTAGTGATTAAGTAAATAAAATTTAATCTGTACACAACTATCAGTTAACAAAAGCAAAATGCAAGTTTAATAAAGTATGTGGTATAAACTGACTAATAAAATTGAATTAATTTTTTTCGTATAGCAGTTGTTACTATATTGTGATTCCAAATAATTTCTTAAATTTAAATTAATTTTATTTGATACACATTACAATAATTTACAATACCCAAACAACCAGTAGTTAAAGTTTTTTTTGGAGCTGAAGTTATTTTTAATCAGTATTTTTGGGTCCTTAAACTATATATCAAATGTATAGTATATAGTATCTATAGTATATAGTGTTTTCAGTTCCTGTAGTTATATATCTAAATTCTAGTATCTTTGTTTCCTGAAGTTATATATCTAATTGTATAAAACAATTGTTATAAAACAAGTTATATATCTAATTGTATAAAACAATTGTGTAAAAAGTTGTAGCATTAATTTTTTTTGCATGTTTTTTATAAAAACTATATAAAGCATGCAAAAAGAAAATATATGTAATATATGCTGTTATATATAATAATTTTACTTTTACATGTTTAATTATGGTATATATTGACTTTAACTAAATAATACACATGATCAAGATCATTAAATTATTCATAATATTTAACCAAGCTTCACTAACATAACACTTTTAACTTATTCTAGTCTTTCTAAATTCTGGTAACTAGTATCCAGTCTTTTTTAATTGTTCTGGTAACTAGTTTCCAGTCTTCCCTAGTGTTGTTCTGGTAACTAGTTTCCAGTTTTTCCAAGTGTTGTTCTGGTAAATAGTTTCTAGTCTTTCCTAGTGTTGTTACGATTATTAAATAATTTGACTTTTTATTTAGTCGAAATATGAGAATAATTTACTTTTTTGAAATAGTCATAAAGATAATAAAGTCGTTTATTTTTGCTTTCTATTTTTTAACATCATTTCATTTTTAACATCATATCATATCAATGTTAATGAAGCAAAACAATGAGAGAACTGCTGCTCTGACAACTGGACAATATATTCCTAGACCCCAATTGTTTAGGGAATACCTTAAATACTTGCTAAATATCAAAATATTTACAATCATATTTACAATATGATTGTATAGATGACAACTTAAAAGTGACCCTGTATGAAAGTGTTTATGAAAATCAAAAGCATCGAGTAAGCAAATAAAAAAAAATAATGAAATAAATAACCGATAGTTTAATTGTCTATAATTTTTTCTTTTTTTCTTTTTTGTAGTTTTTAAGGTGTTCCCAGAAGTCCTTACGGTCTTATTGCAGATAGGAAGAGCATAAATAATGCTAACATGCTATGAATTAGATAAAACTTTAAGAGAGTAAGCAAAAAATAAGTAGCATTTATAATTAATTATGTTATACTTTATAAAATAGCCATTCACTTTGTACACTGCCACCGGCGAATAATAAGAAAATTTTGGTAAGTTCTGTTAGAATAATCTTTTGTGTTTGCTGACACTTTCAAGGATTTGCTGTCCAATTTAAGCGAACAGTCTCCTGCAAAAGCTAATATCATTTGCTATAGAAACTATTCTTTACATCTTCATATGTACATTTTTTTGTAGAAATTAGTTCGATCATTTTCATTTTCCCTTCTTTTTCTTAGAAGGTAGAGCTGAATCATCACCAGTTCTACTAGTCACCCGTGATGGTTCATCAGTATCAAGCAGCGTTTCATTGAGAAAGATTTATAGCATTGTTTTTTTGCAACTGTATAATGGACATTCCCATTAAAGTTAAATGATATTTTAAGTTCAAGTCATAGTAAAGATCTATCTGTATCAACTTCTGAAATTACCTCTGAAATGAAAATTCTTGAGCTGGTTATTTTTCTAATCTTTTTTATGGTTTGAAGAGTATGATGCGTTTATACATAACTATAGTTAAATCAAATTGATGTAACAGTCAACAAATTATGTGTGCTGTTACACAGCCAAGTTATAGACTAAACAAAAACGCCCACAGCGTAGTTAACATTGTCGGTATTTTATTTAACTCTAAAATTCCTGAAACCAATGATTTAAGTTTTCTTTCAATTTAGGTGTTGACACCATAATGTTAAGTGATTGTTTAAGAAAATATTTATAAATTTTACTTTTTTTTTAATTTAAAATCTTTTAGCCTTTATAAAACATTGTATGAGTTAATGTTAAATGTATTTTTATAATCAGAAAAAGATAGTGCTTCCTTCGAGTTGTATTTTGCCAGTTTGTAGAGCGTTGTAAACTTTACAATACTGCATCATTAAGTTAAAATTGCCAATTTTCAAGTTAATTTCTTTTGCTAATATACAAGCGATAATCACTTCAATGAACCATCAAAATAAGAAAGAGTCTCCATCAAAATAAGAAAGAGTCTCAAAGAATATTTGGTGACACAAAACCACTATTTTTGACATTTCTTGTTATAATAGTGCATGCTTTTGTTTTTAAACGAACAAACAAAAATAAAAAAATATTGGAAAGTTCAATATAATGAAAAGATAAAAGGATTTTAAGATTTTCACTCAACTAAATTGACTTTTTGTCAATTTGTAGGAAGTCCATAGTCTGTTAAATTGGCTATTCATTTTTTCTTAGTCAACTTGTTTTGACTTTTGACTAATCGATGTTTAGTTGATTTAGTTAAAGTCAATAACAACACTAAAATTAAAAAAAACTTTAATAACAACACTAAAATAAACTATAGAATAGTTTTATGTAATTAAACAAAAAAAAGTTTTATTTTCTTTTTTTAAAAGTTTTTTTCGCTTGTGTTATTACTGTTATAAATGAGTTTTCTGATCACATGAGATGATCCCATGGTCTTCACACAGAGTTATAAGTTTAATGCTTTCAAATTTCTTGAAAGATGTCATGTTGCTCATACATTTTTTACATGGTCCTAATTGTTTCATACCACCTCTCCATTTTGTGGGTCTCATTACCAACTTTTCAGCGCTTTTTATTTTACATCACCTGTTTTCAATTGTTTTTTAATATTCTGTATGCCCCCTCCCATTTTAGCTACTATATTAATGATGAAAAATATGTAAACAATTATTAGTAACAAATTTTTGCTTGAATATTTTGCTTTTATACTGGACTTTTGTCTTTTAATTTTTTTTAACTAATACAACTTTTACTTCTTCCCTGAGGTCCCCACAGCTGCATGTGTTTCATTTTAATCATTTTCCCTTCTATGTTTATTTTTTATCCTAGATTTTCATTAAAGTTGTTATGCATATGTCACTCATGCGCTATTATCCGCACCAAATAGTACTGTTTTGAAAAGAATTAGTGTTCATAATAAAGATTTTCTTGAATTTAAGCAGAATAATAGATTTTGTGCTAGTTGATATATTATCCTTTTTGATTGCCTGCTCAAGCTAAAACCCATCATACTTGCATGTACACTCCATTTTATTCAGTTGATGAACATTCCACTGCATTTGTTTCTATATTTACACATGTATATTATGCATTGGTATAGGTTTATATTGCCATTAATATAGCTGGTTGTTTATGCCTTCATACACATCTACATCATAGACTTTATCTACTGCTTCTTTTCATTCTCATATGAAGATCTTTTTTTTCTTTCATTATGCGCTTGTCTTGTTGCTCACATATATGGCATCATTCACCTAATATTTTTTTTGTTTAATATACATCTGTCAACATCTAATTTCTTATACCATTTAAGCCTCTCTAGGTAGTTTGCTTTGCTGGTATTGGATCAGTATGTGTTTCATTAGTTGGGAATCCACCCTCTATGAATCCATGAATCGATAATATTTCCCTATTCTCCCTAAACCTGAGAGAGTCATTTTGAATTATATTTGTTAATAAGTTATATATTTATAAGTTATATATTTATAAGTTATAATATTAATAATTATATTTGTTAATAATTTAAAATAGAATAAATTTATATAGAATAAACAGTATATACTTTCACAGATAATAATAACTTTATTATTATCTGTGATAATAATAAATTTCAATTTTCTTCTCCTATAATTGTTAATTCTGCACTCTGAACACTTAAACTTTTTTGGAAAATTTTTTATAATTTCTTCCCTCTAGACTACCAGCCTATTTTTTACGATTGATACAAAAGAACTTTGTTCAGAGTATCAAACTCATTACTTATTTAGGGTTAGGGTAAGGGTAACTCTGATGGAACAACTATCCAAAATGAAGTTGACTACCTTAGAGATTAGAAGTTTGCGCAGTGATCTCATATTAGTTATTGAACATTATAGATCACATTACATGGCTTAAACCACCTAATTTGCACCCTCGTTACAAGCAAACAGACCAACATCAGTCATAATCTAAAAATCAAAAAAGGAAATGTCCAGCATTTTTTGCCTCATCAAGTGTTATTTAGTAACCCTAATGCAAATAAACGGAGTGCATTACCAATCAAGGTGGTGATGTGCAGCCTTTGAACTCTTTTAAAGCAAGATTTGATAGATTTTTGTTATGAAATTTTTTTTGGTAGTTATTTAGGTGTTCCCAGAAGTCCTTACACATACAAGTACATTGAAAATACATGTTTATCTAGTTTATCTGATTATTTTATTCTATACAGTAATGGAAAAAGTATTTTTTAATTTTTTTTAATAATAATCAAGTTTCTAATTTTAAAAACAATCATAACATAAAAATAAAGTTGCAGGACCAATCGAGATATATCAAAATTTTTAATACTTGGTTTTACCACCTTTTGCAGCTTTAATTCCTTTCACTCTTCATGTCCATATTTAAATTACAGCATAATTTGGTGTTTCTCTTGCATTGGAACCAGACATGGATTAATGTTTCTATGTGTTACTTTTTTGCAGTTGTAGCAACTTTATGTATTTCCTTCAAATAATCCATAAATTCTCATTTACATCTGTTTTATCTGTTACATCTTATTTTATTCTGGTTTATATCTGGTGAATTTCTAGGCCGTTTAAGTACAGAGAATCTGTTGATTTTGAACCATGTCATTGACAACTTATCTGTATGTTATTGAACATTATCTTTGTTGAAATATATAGTCTTTATTAGGGAACCAGTGTTTGTGAGTCTTGGCTTTTTTTAAGGACTGGATGACTTCAGTCCCTGCTCCAACATGTGATTGTATACTGCTTTATGGCTTAAGATAATTCTCTAATTATGTAAATATTTTTGCAATACTTCTTTCACTGAGTGTTTTTACTTTGATATTTTTCTGAGCTATTGATTCTTTTAAGACTACGTTTTCCAACTCTTCAGCCAGCTTAAACCTTTCTACCTTCATCCAGCTTCCTTTTTTTTTTTTCGCTATCTGTTTGTGTTGAAATCTTTCATTTTATTTTATTTTAAGTCTCCTTTTTATTTTATTTTTCCATTTTATTTTATTTTAAGTCTCCTTTGTTTAAGACCACTATTCACCAACGAAACACAGGTTTTCCTTTTTTCTAGACTCTTTTATTTTTAGGTCTTTTATTTTCCCCATCACCTCAAGATTAGTAAATATGTCAAAAATTTTGCTGAATAATTTTTATCATTAATAATTTCAGTAACAGTTCTTGACTGGCCTTTTAATGGCCCTAAAATAAATAAAACAAGATCTAAATGAATTTCATTTGACAATAAATAGTGATGCCATATACATATGTATAGTTGCTTTACTATAAATATGTATGGCATAACTATACATATGTTCTTTTGTTGCGACATATAAATATGTCGCAACAAAAGAATATCATCAACCACTGAAATTTTTGGCTTCTTTAATTATAGGGTTGTCCATAAAGCACGTACGCCAAAAATTTTGAAATTTGACCCTCCCCCTCCTCCCTCTTGCCATGCATACTTTTAAGTACCCACCCTCTTAAAAAGTTTGTACGTATTTCAAATCCCCCCCTAACATTCTTTTTTTCAATAAAAGAAAAAGGTGGAGGAGGTACTTTAGATACTATGACCCTAAAGCTCTTTGTTTGTGGCACAGGATCCCAATTTAAAAAACGTCTTTAAATATATATGAATATTAATTTTGATAAAGTTAAATTCCTCCGTAATATGCATGCTTGGTCAAGAGGTTAATAAATGTGTGTGCTTGGCCAAGAATATATGTGTGCTTGGACCTATATGTGTGCTATTTATGCGCGGACCTATATGTGTGCTTAACCGAATAATGGTTATAATAAGGTTAATGTTAGGAACTTCTAACGCGGAGACCGGGGTTCGATTCCCTGTAATTTTATATTGCTCCTTATTTTTGTTTTGATGACAGATCAAATAAAAATAAACTATACTAAAGGCGGACGTTCTTTTCAGGCACCTCTCTTTCGTAAGTTCGTAAAAAACAAGATCAGTAATATTGAAAACAAAGCCTAAAACCCAGTAGTCATACCTCCTAATTGGGGAGGGGGGAGGGTAGCAAATTTTGTGCCCTTTTGTTAGTTTAAGCAGCTTTTTATTTTAGCAAAACCTAGCGGTAAAATTTAGATACCCTAATGACTTTTTTTTGGGGGAGGGGCATTCGATCCATCAGCTACGACACTGCTAAACCTATTTTTTGTCGACTCAAAAAATAGGTTGCCTGAATTATGTCTTACTCAGGGCCAGTATATAAAGGGTAGCAAAATGTATGACCATGCAATATTTCTGACCCCCAAAATGAAGGGGGCTGGGAGCAAGCATTTTAGAACTTTTTTGTTCTCAGGCTTTCGCCATCCCAATTTTGTGCATGGTCTCCTCATTTAGCATAGGTATAAATATAATTAAGTTTAGAATTTGCACAATGTGTGAAAGTGTCCTATCTGGAACATCAAAAAATCCCATGCATGTGTGAGCACAGGGCCGTCCAAAGGAGGGGGTAGAGGGCAACCTATTCGCCCCCCCCCTCCCAAGCTGTCATATAAGCATTTTAGTTGGCATATTGAGCAAATTTTGAACTATAGTTGGCAAATTGCAAATATTGATGACTTTTTTTTTTTTTTTGGTGTTTCTAGTAAGCAAAAAAATACATACACCCCCCTCCTTCATGGAAGACCTTTTCGGTACTGCACTGTGTCTGCATAGAGGGAAACTATACCCTCTACTCCCTATACTATACATCTTTTTATGTTGGCAAACTAAGATCTTTAGAATTTTAACTTTTCTATTGATTAGCTTGTTAATTGTGATAAATTAGAAAATTGAAGTACTTACTTTTAAATTGAACCTTTGCCCCCTCCCCAATACGCTTTCATACGCTTTTTAAAGACCTCCCCCCTCCACCCTATGAGTATACGTACATTATGGACGACCTCTAATAGAATTTAATGAGAATCCAAAAACTATAGTAATTTATTCAGTACTGTAGAATCTTCCACAAACTTTCATTAATTGATGTTATTTTGTTTTGTTTTTATATTGAATAATTTTTTTTTTAATTATTAGTATTTGTTTTTTCTGTAATGCAAGTCTGCGAAGCCCTAAAAGACAGAATTTTTATCAGAAAAACAGGCTAATTTATAAGATTATTTTAACAAATATTTCTGAATATCATAAATAAAAACATGCAACACAAATGACAAAAACTGCATATTTACATTACTTTTTCCTTTTTTAACTTTGCACTTAGTTTTCTTTTTGGTTTCTGTTTTGATTCCATATTTTGTTGGTCTTCTAAAACCTTTCTTTTTGTTGGTCTTCTATAACCATACTTTTTGTTGGTCATTTTGCGCAATCCTTAAGTGTTATAGAAAAAGAAATAAAGCAAAATTTTTTTTTTTATTTGAGATGTTTAAATAAAAAAGAAGTTTTTAAAAGTACTTATCTTAAAAATTATCTCCTCGCTTTTTCTCTTATGTAAATCTGTTTCATGTTATCTTTTATCAGCCAAATAATTTTGCAGCTTTGCAGCGTAACTTTTTGCACCCTCTTAAATGATCTTTAATGATTCAAATTGACTTAAATTTATTTTCATGAGTGTGAGTGTCATATTTCTAAATAGAAATAAATAGGAAATAAAATAATAGTAATAATTGAACCTATTATCGTAATTATTATCTTAATTTTTTTATTAATTTTTTTCTGGACATTACGAAATAATAAATTATTGTAAAATTACCGCAAGCTATTTTTTGTGTTGTAAAAATCTTATTTCTAAATTTGTATTTCTATGTGAAAAAAGTTAATGAGTTGCCAAAACTGACGAGATGAATATACTTTAAGTTTCCATTGTCATCTACCTAGCAGCAAAACTAGTCAAAATTTTATGTCGCTTAGTTAAAACGCTGAAGAGTAACGTGCAAAATATAAATTATTTTTAGAAATGTTACCTTTTGAATCTCCACATCAAGTCTAGGGTTTTTAAGTTTTTCTGAATCTTTACATCAAGTCTAGAGATTTCAAGTTTTTTTAAACCTCCGCATCAAGTCTAGATTTAAAGTTTGATACAGGATTTATTATTTAATGGAATGATTGCAGAATAACATCAACAATAACTAATTTTGAGAGCAAAATCAATAACAATTTTCGCATTATTGGGAACAACTTTGTAATAAATGGCTGCTTTGCTTCTAATGCACAAGTAAAGCCTTTAAAATCATAGGTAATAAAATTGGCAGCGTACGCTATAACATATGGTAGGCTTTATTTTTTTTTATTTATTGCTTTCTTGATAAAAAAGTTTTAGTTGTTACAATACCTGCTTTATCATAAATTCTTTTCGGCTTAAGTTTTAAAAAATATTCTTGCAAATTGTCAAACTGCTCCATTACAATCACTAAAATATCTGGAATTTTTATTCAATGAGCAGAGTCTTAGCATTATGTGGCTTTGTGGCTCAGTGAATGTGAATGGCTGAATGGCTGAATGGCTCAGCCACATGAAAATATGCTCTTATTCTTTTTATAGAAAATTTAAAAAAAAAGCTTTGCTATTAAATCCAAATTAACACCCTTGGGAATTAATGCTTTTAAACCTTCTAAAAAAACATTAGTAGCAAACGTGACTCCACATTCATAACAAATTTGTTTTTTTTCATTTACAATTTAATTTTCAACAATTTGTCCTCTAGCTTTTTGGAGAACAATTTGTTGACATTAAAACTATCCATACTATAATGTGTAAGCGAAAAATTTGAGACTGGTTGAAGCTGAGTTTTTCTAACAACTCTTCAAAATGGCGAAGAAGACCTTCTGCACTACGCCTCCCTACAAACAATGTCTCTCTCCCAAACTTTGCTGGAATGAACGTTACGTCACATAAGTATATTATTTTTTTGTCTTTGATGTAGTTCTTTCACTAATCAAAATGTATGAGGTAAACAATTCAATTCATTCAAAATAATTTTTTGAATACAAAGAGCCATTCCAAACACATAAAATATCTCCTCATCTTTCCTTTTTATTTATTTTTATTTGGATACAGAAAAAGCTGTTTTTATAATAAAAAAGCAATGAAAAAATGTTTCGGTTTTAATATCAAAAAATTGAGATAAATCATAATTTACGTAAGAATTACGTAATAGTTACGTAGTTAACTGCAATTCCATTTTAAAAGTTGCTAAAGCTTTAATAGAGTTTTATTATTTTTTTTTTTATAACTGTCTTAAACTCCTTTCTAGCTTTACATAATGGTTTTGAAGAACATATTGGAACTGTGGCGTTTATTGGGTTTGTTGATGGTAACGACGTGGATGTTTATGTTGGGTTAGTAATGGACGATGATGGTTTGTGTTTTATAATACATTTGTTATTTTTTGTTAAAATTATTTTTATCGTAAATATTAATAAGGCGAAAATAATAAAACTTCTTGTAGAAAATATAAATAATATGTAAATAATAAAGATATATATAATATTATAAAAATGTGACTTTTTTTTAGTTGGTAATACTGATGGAAAAATAAATGGCAAAAGATATTTTCGTTGCGAAGCGCAGAAAGGAAGATTTGTTCGCTTCAACGATATCCGAAAGTATTACGATATTTCTGTAAGTTATTTAGAGAAATTTCATATTCTAAAATTTATTAAAAGGTAAATAAAGTTGTTCACTTAAATACGCTTTTTTATATTTAGTATGTGGAACCAGTTTTTCCAAATACAAGTTGAAGTTTAACTCAAGATTTGTGAACATTTAATAATGCTAATGCAGTTTAACTCAAGATTTGTGAACATTTAATAATGCTAATGCAGTTTTGAAAAAAAAAAAGCTAAAGTTTTGAAAAAAAATCTAAATTTTAGAAATCTCTTTTATAATTCATATATGAAGTTTATTGACATCAGCAAAAGTTGCACTCTTTGCGTCCTCGTCTTTTTTTTGTTATTGCTGATAAAACAAGTTGAATTAGCAGAAAAATGTCGAAAAAGAAAACAGCGTCCTTACCTTATTATTTTTTATTTTTTTCAGATTACATACTGTAAGCAAAAACTCAGCAAAAAAAAAAAAGTTATGGACGCAAATTATTTGCTTCAATTACATACTGTTTATAGTTAGGCATACACGATATATATGTGTGTGTGTGTGTGTGTGTGTGTGTGTGTGTGTGTGTGTGTGTGTGTGTGTGTGTGTGTGTGTGTGTGTGTGTGTGTGTGTGTGTGTGTGTGTGTGTGTGTGTGTGTATATATATATATATATATATATATATATATATATATATATATATATATATATATATATATATATATGTATATATATATATATATATATGTGTGTATATATATATATATATATATATATATATATATATATATATATATATATATATATATATATATATATATATATATATATATATATATGTATATATTGACTGTAGCAAATTTGCCATAAATATTTTTTCTATTTAAAAAAAAGGTTTTAGCTTTTCACATTTGCCGACAATATAAAGTCCAAGTTTGCCGACTGTACTATGTGGTCTAAATATGCCGACCTGCCGGTTTAAAAATGCTAAATTTGCATACTTAATGAATTAAAATTCATTGATAGGGTGGAAGGGAGAGGGTATCACACCAATGACGCAAGTTTGGGTGTACAGTGGCTTATAGTGAGAGATACATGAGATACCTAGCACTCAAGAGCATTAATTAATTTACGCGACGCGTAATTGTTACGCGACGCACAGTGGAATATTAGACCCAAAAAGTCGTTTAAAAATATTTCATCGAAGTTA